ATAAATTTTTGCTATTAAGTAGCCTCGTGAATGCACATCCAATTAAAAAGATACTTAAGTAGGAGTTCCTAACTAAAGACCATCGGATTCTACATTCGGTAACATAGACAGCAAACATGGTAAAACACTAGCATTTCTCTTTTGAGAAACCTACCCAAATTATTCCATTTGAATCGGCCCTCCATATTAACCCAGTAAACTTCCAAATGCTGCCAGAAGTACAAGATTTACCAAGAACAGGTAGAAAAATTCTAAATCCTCCAACATAATCAGAAAGCAATAAAAAAGGACGGATAAACTTTCTAACATACCTCATGCTGGGCAACTAAAAAAAGCCTCACTAAGTCACCAGTCCTTGAGAAATAAAACACTTTCTTACGCGAATTGTCCATTTTCTTTTTTGAAAAACAGAGTTTTAGCATACGAAAACCTAATTTACATCCAAAGAGGCTAGGCGAGCTTTACCCACGACAGAGCTCAAGTGCTCAAAATCACACCTAGAGAAACCCAACAAATAGCAGTCCCCACATGCCTCACCAATTTACGGTCGCAGATGCATGCTTACTGAGACAAAGATCACGAACTTGAGAGAAAAAACACCTTAACGCGTCCAACTTCCTCTCGAAAAAAACAAACATAGGAATTGAAACCCCAAAGAGCGATTTTACCTAATACTCAATAACCTTACCGAAAAGACTAGAAGCTCTTTTGTGCTGATGCTCGGTAATATCCAACGACAAACTGCCACGAATATGCAATACTTGTCCTTCGCCATCTCTGAGTCCTCGTTTAATTCCAATAGCAGTGGTAGTAGCGGCAATTTTAGCTTGTGAATCTATAAGGAGATTATCCTTAAGATTGTTGGAAAAATGTTAGATGATATGGAAAATAAGAGTTGTTGGAAATAGGTTGAAAAAGATGAGAAAATAAGATTAATTATCTGAGACGTGCAAGCACTGTCCTTAAGGATAATTCAGCCCTTCAGAATACGAAACTTGGAATGATAGGCTCTAGCGGCTATGTTTCCAAGATACAACAAACCTTATTCTTTATTTCGTATAGAATAATAGAAGGAACATGAACAACTTAATGTATATAACCCAGTAAAAAGAAGGAAAGATAAATAAAGATTTTCATGTTTTTGTATATCCCTTCTCAATTATGTTCGGAGTAACAATTTGTAGGCAAAAGAGAGAGAAAGCCGTTTTCATCATCAATTCTATCATTAAATTGAAAAACGTTACAAATCCGTTACAAATTGATAACAATGTTACACAACCGTTATAGATTAATGGCAGACAAAAACGGTTACAAATTGATGAGGTAAGAAACTGTTACAAAAATAATAGCTTTTAATATTTCAAAAGTACTAAAATATCCAACATATGAACACGGCGAGACTGTCTATTTGCTCGCGCGGTTGTTCAGGTATAATCAGCTATTACTTTCCTCTGGATCTTCTCGATTGTTAATAAAGTTTTGACAAGTCAATCGCGCAAAGTTTCAGTCAGAGAAAGGTGTTCATTATTGATTTGAACCTGTGCCTAACTTCGACTACCCTTTGGAATTGATTATGAATGTTCTATACGTGGTTCCTGAATGTGATTTGTCTTAGCTCGCTATATATGATTAAACAGGATTGCACGATGTGAGGGATCGGTGTCTTACATGAAATCTCCACTTGAATGTTAGGTAACCGAACTCTTGAGTGCAATCCGTGATGCGGGCTGTCCACGTTTGGATGTGATGTAGGGCCAAAATGGTTATCTTTAGGATGCATCTCATGTGATAAAAATAAGGTCTCTTTTGCATGCATTTTCCTATTATTAAAAAAAAGATAGAAAACTGAAAGTAGAAGTGTTTTCTTGCACGTCACTTGCTCATGATTGTTCAATTGCGTGTTAGGATGAACATGGCCCTTTACATAAGTTAAAGTTTTATGGGTTCACGAATCTTATGTTTATTAATTAGAGGTTTTGCATACAGAGAAATTCCCTCTCGAATATTTGCATATTTAGAAAATTCATACTCGCGAATCTAACTGTATTCCCATTTGCACATGTTTAAGGTTTTGCATGTCTAACTTATTGGGATAGAATTTTGCATTATATTTGCGTTGCGACTATTGCCATGTTAGAATAATTAGGGTTTTGCATGAATAAGTGTCATAGTGTACATCCAGGATATTTAGATTTCAGTATTAATCAATTGCCATATTCACATTTTTGTTTCCATAATCACATGTCATAAAATAAAATAAATATATCAAAATAATCATATCTTGGACGCCAGTAATTACATTGCATCTTTGCTGGAAATCACAAAAATATGCAGTGCATTTAGGGGCATATCCATATTATATATAGAGAAAAAGCCACAAAAACTTTAAACTATGTCCACTGTCACACATTTACCTTGAATATTTTTTTTTACATCAAAAATCTCAAACTATGCCTATTGTGACACATTTACCATAAACTTTTTTTTTGTGACATAAAAAGCACCACAACTTGTATCTAAATGACACATGTACCCTCTGTCAAGGTTCCGTTAGATGATTTTTTTAGTCAAAACAACGTCATTTATATTTCACTTAAGCCATGTGGACGCCATGTCAACAGCGTTTGCTTTTTAGCGTCAATGTGGGCAGATTTTCAAAGATTTTCATTAACAGAACTTTGACGGAGGATAAATGTGTCACACGGGTATAAGTTTGGGATTTTTGGTGTCATAGAAAAAGGTTTATGATAAATGTGTCACCATGAGCATAGTTTAGGATTTTTGTGGCTTTTGCTCTATTATATAAATAGTTTCCTTCTCTTAGTATTGCATAGCATTATGTTAAATTCTATTCCCATGTTATAATAAGGCTTTGTTAATTTTTGCCCAATACGGCTCGGGTTCCTTATTACTCTAGTTATTTTTTTTTGTAGAGATAGTTATTATTTATTTGCTGGATAATTGCTTGATTGTTTATTTAATTGCTTGAGTTCCATGTATGATCTTTTTTACACATGTTAGAGGCTTCAAGCAATAAAATATGATGAAGATCGCATGCAAAACGTTTTCATAAAGAGAAAGGGTATTGAAATGACATTAAATAAATTTAGTGTAACCAAATTTGGTTCTCAAGGGTAAGATGGACTCCTACATCCTATTTGGGTTTCTACCCAGCCCATAATAGGTTAGTGGTGACTCTTCAGTCTAATCTTGCATGAATAATCAATTGGAAAAATCAAGTTACGATTAGTAGGATTTGGGAGGGTCCACGCTACGCGAAGGGGTTGCCTTGGAAGGGTAGCTGTCAATTTCATTACCCACTCAACTAAGATTAGCGTTTGACAAGGAAAAAAAAGAAACTAAGATTAGCTAGCGCTACCGGTAGTGGAAAAGTCTTTTCCTCTCCCTCTCTCTTCTCTTGCCATCGTCTCCTTCAACCTTTAGCCACGGGGGAGGGTTTGAACCTAGATTTTCAATGAACATATTCAAACTTGAAAAGGAATTTTATAATTCTTGAAGAATAAGGAGCAATGAGATTTCTAAAAAAACCCTGCACTCTGTCTCCTTCTCCTTCGTATCTCGGTTTAAGTTGTAGCTTCGCGATTCCTCTGCAGTTCTTAGGATCATGTCAAAGCTTCATGAAAATGACGAGAGAGTCGAAGCTTCTTCTCCTCCTTAGCTCTTTGGTCCACGTCAAAATGTCCACGAAAGCAGCAAGGGAGTTGAAACTTCTCTTCCTCAGTTACTCTATGATTCTTGTTAAAGTTTCATGAAAGTGGCACAAAAGTTGAACTATACCTTTTGGATTCACATAGGTAAATAATCATGTTTTCTCTCTATGACTAGATTTGACATTGGCTGACTGATCTACCTCTTCGATGTTGCTGGTGCTCGTCTACATTTCTTGTGTTGAGCTCATTTGCTATTTAACATTGATTGATGGGAGTTATCTTCATTTGTGCATTTGTGGTTTCTTTAGCTGTGAATCATAAGAGATTCTTACCATTCTTATTTGTGCATTTTTAGGTTCATTTACACTAAGAAACTGTTCATACCAAACAATGGACATGATAGGATATGAAAGTTTCCGGCTTTATTACTACTATTTACCAAACAGTGGATATGAATCATATAATATAGCAAAATCTCTGAATTTCTTATCATATCCTATCCAGTTCTATCATGACTAAAAATTTATACGATCAAACGCAGCATAAATCAATATATATAAGACTGCCATCGGAGAAGAAGAGAAATGACTCGAGCAATAAAAATTTCACCCATCATTGTCAGCATTTTAAAAAACCTATTCAAAGATCCAAATACTAACGAATGAATGTGCTCGATCGAAGAGTTGGATCTCTTCAATATAAAATTCAAACATCCCATGGTAATTGGACCGTTCAACATGGTCAATGTCGACTTGACCTGTATTTGTTTATTTGTTGCTTTCCTTTTTCTTTTTCCTTTTCTTCTCTAACTAATTAATTGACATAAAATGAAGCGCGCACATATATATATATATATATATATATATATATACAAAGTTCTGGACTACACACAAAGTTCTGGACTTGAGTAACGTGGTGCTTTGATAAAAGACAAAGCTCTGGACTTGCTTCGCTGTCGTGATTTAATGCGAATGCTAAGATTTGATATTGTCGAGGGTCACTGCATTTTATGATTTCCCACCGTCAATCGCCCATCGTCCATTTATGTGGTCAGGACAGGAAGCCTCTGCCAATTGCCGACTCTCTGTCGGCCATTAGAGGGAAGGAACCAATGTGTAACACGGAAGAGTTGAAAAGTGACGCATTCGACCCAGAAAGAACAAATGGAGAGTCATCAAGGGGAAAAACCAATGCACACCATGCCTAATCACTCGAACCCCTAGCACGTAAGCAGTGATGCTTAGTCTCTCCACCAGAGTTGTGTGGTCAGGAAGCCTCTTCCGATTGCCGTCTCTCTCTCTCTCCGCCAGTGAAGGACTTATATAAACCCCAGGTGGGAGAGTTAGAGAGAAGCATCAGACCCGAAAAGAAAAAAAAGAAGAGTTCAGGGGAAAGATCACAGTTCAGAAAGAGAGAGAGAGAATGGCTCAGGAGGGGAATGGGACTGCAAGTAGATGCAGCAGCCGCAACAGCGACAACGAAAACAGGTGGTCGCTTCAGGGAATGAACGCTCTTGTCACCGGTGGAACCAAAGGAATCGGGTCTCTCTCTCTTACCAAGCACTTCATTCGTTTATTTGTTGATTTAGATAATCTGTTATGGTTTAGATTGGGACAAAACATTGTAAATTAGACATTTGAAAACTGTCATTCTTGAAATCTCGTTCCTCTAATATTTTGGTAATAGTAGGATTGTGCCCACCAGGGCATTGATGAATATCTTGGCCCAGCCGGAACAAATTGGGCGTATGATTTCTAGGTCGGGCACAGTCCTTTACTATGCTAGGCTGAACCGAAATGAATCGGTCGTGTCCAATCTGGGCTTTTCTAGCTTACGCCTGAATTTCGTGCACCTCGACTTTAACTAGACATAAGATTTGATCCAGATGGAGTTATGCGCCTTGTATTACACGTCAAAAAGCTCCCACAGAGAGCTCAACACCGTGAGGCTATAGGGTAAAGGCATTTGATGCTATTTTTCGACCGTTAAAAAGACTTTTTCAGCATTCCACCTTATTGAACTTTACTCCTGCTATCATATCATTTCTCACTTATATAATGTGTAGCTAGTGATAACCCGCGCTATGCTACGGTCATATAAATCTATATATGTTAATTTCAGGGGTTCTATATTTCTAATGCATGAAGTTTCTCAATTTGTACCATCCTGATCAATCATAATTAATAAAGTAGCAAGCATACCTGGCCCACCGCTTGATGCTGCATATCTTGTGTTCGAATAAGAACATCTCCTATTCATGATAACTTTGAGAACCATATCATGCATGTTAATTTCAATATTTTATATTTCTAGTAGACAATCTTAATTAATAATAGATTACAATGTTGCAAAATTAAGTGGTAAAGCGCTTCTGACAAAAAAAAAAAACAAAAACAAAAAAGTGGTAAAGGGCTTGGCTCGAATGCGGTAAATCTTGTTCTCGATTCCTAGAGTCTCCTACCCATAGTAATGGCTATGCCTGTCGACCAATGATTGGGGCTTTACTCGATACAAAAGTGAATGGAATGCTTTGTGTACCAGACCGTATGATTGAAAAAAAGGTTTATGTCATATACACTTTTAATGATGCTATGCTAATGCCTCACTTTGTTCAGTTATATACTTATCTATTTATATTAATTCCAAAATCAAAAGTGTCATTGTTAAATGAAGACAAACCTATAGTGAATAATCATAGACATTAAAATTGTAACATGTGGCGATAACACAGTGTGCTGGTTTATATTATTTTATTTTTTCTCCTCACGCTTTCATTGAAGACAAATTAGTTGTCGAAACAAAACTATTCAGATATATCTACGTTTGCATGTGAGTTGGTGCTCAGTTATTCTAGTGTCTAAAAACATATAGGAGTACTAAACCATAGTAGAAAGAAAGAACAATGAAAAAAAGGGGATCCATATTTTCTCTTCGAGAAAATGAAGTGAGAAGGGGAAAATAACCAACTCAGGGTACTTAAAATAAAAAATATATTTTTTGCAATTTTTCGTTTTATGTGTTTTTTTATCTTTATTTTGGAATATCTATTGTAGCAAAATGGGTATAGTAGCCCAACATAGGCCTATCCGGGCCCGAAAAATTCGAGTCGGGTGTGTCAGACAGGGCTTTCAACCGCCAAGATTTTGTGAAGGCCCCTTATGTAATGGCGGGTGCTTTTGAATCCAATAATGTTTGATTTCATTGATAAAAAAGTTAGACAACTAATTTCATCATCACTCAAAAATATATACGATGAAGATGACGAGAGACTTGACACAGCTCAATTACTTCGAGGATTTCGGAGCTCGGGTGGCTGGTTCATGGGTACTTTTTTTTTTCAGTTTTGTAGTAGATGTTAATAGCTCATTTGACATGTCATTAGCTACTAGAATTTCTGTTCTCCTATTGTTATTTCCCAAATGAAAATCCAGTGCATTTTAAAGGCTTTAGTCATTGGTTAGACTTCAATTGCGAGTGCAATTGAATCTACATGTCCTAGGGCGCCGACATTCGGAACTTCTGCTATTGGCAAAGAGAAAAAGGCTTAATCTGTTCTTATTTGCAGTTACGAGTTGGTAAATAGTCATATGTCGTCCCATGATCAGGCGTGCCATTGTCGAGGAACTAGCGGGGCTTGGGGCTACTGTGTATACCTGTTCCAGAAATGAAGCTGAACTTAATGAATGCTTGAAAGATTGGAAGAGCAAGGGTTTCCATGTGGCGGGTTCGACTTGCGACGTTTCCTCAAGATTGGAGCGAGAGAAGCTGATGCTCACCGTGTCCTCCCTCTTCGACAGTAAGCTCAACATCCTAGTAAGTCCGAGTCATCTTTGATCCTGTGGATCCAATAACAACATTAATAAGGTCTTAATTTGTGCTTCTCTTTCGATAGATTTTGTTTCGTTTTCATTTTCTTGGGATTGGTTTGTGTGTTAGATAAACAACGCTGGAACTCTTGGGACCAACAGTGGAAAGCCGACGGTGGATTACACAGCGGAAGATTTTTCCTTCATCATGACGACTAACTTTGAATCGGCTTACCATCTAAGCCAGCTCGCGCATCCTTTTCTCAAGGCCTCGGGAACTGGAAGCATCGTGTTCTTGTCATCCGTCTGTGGTGTCGTTTCATTGAGCGTCGGATCAATTTACGCAGCCACCAAAGGTGAATTGGTGGTATCATAAGTAACTTTCTAAACACTTTTAATAGGCAGCTAAACAGATTCCGTCTGTTTCTTATTTTCTCAACTTATTGGCAGGAGCAATGAACCAGTTGACCAAGAATTTGGCATGCGAATGGGCTAAGGACAACATAAGAAGCAACTCTGTTGCACCTTATTTCATATACTCTCCACTGACCGGGCCTGTAATTTAGTCTCCCGAGGCTTTAAATTTCCTATCCTGCTCGAAAATAGTTCACCTCATAGATCTTCATCACCTTTACCACCGTGATCTAACATTAACCCATCTGTCATCGGCAGCTGCTTGGTAACGAGGAGTTCCACGAGGAGGCGGTAGCAAGGACACCACTTGGTCGCATCGGAGAGCCGAAGGAGGTGTCGTCGTTAGTGGCCTTCTTGTGCTTGCCGGCGGCCTCTTACATAACGGGGCAGACCATTTGTGTCGATGGAGGGTTCACTGTGAATGGCTTCTCCTTTCCTAGAGCATGAGTCCAACTTTCTTCTGCATCTGAGATGTTACGTTCATCATGCATTACCGTCGCAGAGACTAAGAAGTTTATTAACCAATAATGGCAACATTCGCGGTACACTAAAATATGTACGTCGATAATTTGTTGACCGCATTTAAGGGAGAGCATCGTACTCCCACTTTCTATTACCACTTTCGAGCTTTATCTCTCTTTACTTTCAGTGAATTTTTTTCTCACCTGCATGCATTTGCCTGAAAGTAAAATTTACAATCTTGACAAGCAATGATTGAAACGACAAACATTGATATATAGTGGCACTATACGAGAATATAACTTTTTTTTGACACAAGATAAACGTAATCGATTCACATATGTATATTATATCTGTTTCTATATATCTAAACCCTAAATCCTAAAATATAATGCGCAATTTATTGTTAATTCTTGACATCAAATTGACAATGTATGTTTCATAGCAAATGCATTGGTATCAAAATCGTGTTTGCCAATGCTTTGTTAATTTGACACATTTCTAGTCATTTATGTTCTTCCAGTCTTATCAAATATTTAAGCCGTGATACTTCATCCGATACGTAATTTATTAATTTAAATAAGTAGTTTTTTCAACTTTTTAATGATATCCCAATTATTTTTAGGAATTTTTTTTTCAAAATTTTTTTTTTAATGCATATCCAGTCATCTCGCTAATATAGATTAGCATTGTATATAGTTGATATTCCTTCTATTTTATTTTACACGTTTTCATGAGGATATCTTAGTACAAAATCAATTAATCTATAAATTAATCTAAATCTTGTTTTAGAGAACATGAATTACAAAAGATTCAAAATTTTATCAATTCAAAAAAATTAAGAATGATATTTAGATTATTGAAAATTATAGATCTAGAAAATGAGGAACAAGATTTAGATTTATATAAGTACGAGCATTTATATATAGATTGATATTATTCCTAGATATCCTTATGAAAATACTTGTACTTGAAATAGTACGCATGTCAATCCGATATAACTCTAAACGAGTTTCCACTTTTACTATTATACAAATCATAACTTAAAATTTTCTTAAATGAGACTAATTTAATATTTATAAACACAAAAAAGTAAAAAGATAATAACATGATGCCTTATCTTTTGTTGATTTAGGAAAAGGACCGGCATGAAAATATTCTATAGAATATGGGCATTACTTTAATTATTGAAACTTGTAAATGGTATTGAATAGCTATTTTGACTTTGTTGAAAATTTGGAAGAACTAGAATGAAGGAAATTGAATGTTTAGGGGCTATATTGAATAGTTATGAATAGTTCAAGAAGGGCATTGAATGAATTAAAAATTTAGGGATGACATTACACATTAGGCTAAATGTTAGGGATTATTAGTGTCAATTTATCAAGAATTTTTTAGCCATTTTGCGTTAGCTGGAGACATAAGAGTTCTTCTCTCTCACTCTAATATAATTTCCATTTCTCACTCTCTTCATTATATAATTCCTTTACATTTATGAATTATCCCTTCTTAATGATAAGTGATACCATTAAAATAATGCAGCAAGTCAATGTAATTAAGATAGAAAAAAAATTAATGTTTGGACTTTTCTGAATATATATATTTATATATATACTCATTGGTACCTGGTTTCAATAGTAGCTTGTCAACGTTGACATCTGCTTTATCGGCTTGCAATGGGAATTGGTGCAAAGCTTGGCGGCTTATCAACAAAGGCTTGTCCCGGTCTAAAAACCCACAGCGACTTATTGGGTGGTCGCGGAGGAATCATCTATCACAACCATTGAGTTATGACCTAAGTCGGTCGATTACTCGCATTTTTGTGTGAAATTGCTCTATCTCTAGCGAATGAGTCGGACGACTACGCAAGAGTAATTATCGAGTGCGAGTGAGGACTAACTATCGAAAATCCTTAGGAAACGAGCACATCATATCTGTAGATTCCTTCGTTATAAGTTGCCGGCACCAGTTGAGAAAAAAATTATATGGAATTCGCATTTAGTGATGGTTGAGTGTCTCGATTCAATTCTTAATCCCATAATTGTCGCAACCAGTAAGAGTACTCAAATAAGGCCCCTTCATCCACCGATTTTGTCAACAGAAACAAGTGAGGCTGAGACTAAGAGAGGAATCTAGCGGTGAAAAAATGCAAAGAAAAGAGGGAGTCAGATAGGATTATGAGAGAGGAGATTGTTGGGGAGTATTGGATTTCATTGAGTGACGAGGAGAGGAAAGAGTGGCTTCAGGTTGAAATCTCTAATATGGTGCAATGTGTTCAATCTGTCAAGGTAAGTTGGCTTGAGACAGATTTGGAGGATGCTGTGGCATGTTGGACAACTAATGGATCATGCTAGAGCTTCTCTTGTCTCTCAGAAGAGGCAGGGTTGCGAGGAATGCGGAACCTCTTAGGCAGCATATTCTCCAAAAGCATGTGCCAGGCCAAGTCTTCTTGAAGATCGATTCAAACGAGGACAATGCTTGCTTGCCTGTTGGATCACGCCTTTCACTTGATTACTAGATTGTTTTTATTGACCCCGAGCACAACTACTCCGGAAGAGATCTCATTCCCTATTTTCGTAATTGATAAGACAATGATTGTATTGACATGAGTCATATTGATATGATTTCGGTATTTACATTGGATGTAATAATGTGCAATCCCATGCTAGATAATATTCTTGTAGATAATATTCTCGTGTGTTTGGTGTTTACGAGCCACCCAGTTTTCGAAAATCTTCCGATTCTTGAGGCACATAAATGATAGTTGTAGAGAAGATAGTAGTGTATAGAATATTCATAGGACTTATAGACAATACAAAAGACATGCTAAAAATAATAGAAATGGAGGATAAAAAATTGCAACAAGCTAAATAAGTTTTTTTCAAAGCCTTGGAAAATCATGCAGCTAAGGATGCGGATAAAATTCGTGTTGAACTGGGAAAAGTCTACTTTAGGCCACGGGTTGACCTGCGGCATAAGCATTGATGACCCGTGCCGTGTGACATCCGGAATTTTCTACAATAGCTGATGTATTAGGGTATTAAGGTAACAAATTAATGGCTTGAACTTTGGATAACATTGGTTAAACTACAACTTTGCTTTTGAGTTTGTGATGCTAATAAAAGTAAAAATATTAATTAAATTATATTATGTCTCAAGTTTGAGCCTGATGAACGAACACGGTCCATATTAAAGCATGCAAATCTGGACGAATAAATAAAGTTTAACCCACCGTGTTTGATTAATGGTTTCAAATTATTAGAACTCGTGGAAAGACGTGTGCTAAAGTTTCGGATGTCGTGAACCATTTTGGGCCCATTAGGTATATTGGGTTAGGTTTCAAGGGTAGCTTATCAATATTGACATATGCTTTATCAGCTTGTCATGGGAATTGGCGTAAAACTTGACGGCTTATCAACGAAAGCTTGTTTTGGTCTGAAAACCCGAAGCACTTGGGGAAAATATATGAGATAAACGCATTGTTTGCAAGGTTTATCGTGGATTCCGAAGCGAAAGCGGAGCGACTTTATTGGTTGGTCACGGATGAATCAGCTATCAAAACGACCTAAGTTGGTCGATTACTCGCCGGAAGGTCTTATTTTATAGAGGATCAAATCATTCTTAACGATGAGGCATCTTATTTTATTCTGCAGGAAGGTCTCCTACTAAGTAATTTCTCAACTTCTGATCTTATCTCCCTCTTAGCATTCAGTAAAACTCTATTACTTTCAGGATTTTCATGCAAAGAATAATGTGATGATTAGATCATTAAAGTGAACAAGAAATGGCGAAGTTATGGAGATACTTCATAAGGAAGGTTCTACTCTACAACTCTTTTGTAATAGGAGAAGTATGTTATTGAACTACAAAATAGTATCTCTAATGTACAAGTATCTGATGTAAGAATTTTTTTTTTATCAGGTTAATGTCTTGGGGGGTGAGTATTAAACTCGCGCTCCCTATAGAAAATGGAGAGTTACTTATATTGTGTAGGTACCATTTTTGGTCTAGGATTGTGCCAAAAGTAAATGAAATAGAGAAACTGGCATAAATTAACATCCGCTCAAACAATTGATTATCATACCCTGGTACCTCTAATCATATGGATTGTTTATGTGAGTAATACTCCCATTGATCTTGCGTCATGCTCTTCACTCCGTCAGATAATTTTTTTGAGCCTTTGTTTCAGGCAAAACTCGAAGATACAACCATAATATATGCTATTAAGAAGTTTGATGCTGCGGAACTCATGAAAGAAAATATGCTTGTTCTGGGGAAAGGCCACAGAGGAAATTATAATATTAGACCTTCGCAGAAAAAGAAGAGAAAGGGGAATAATAAGAAAAGAAGTAGGAAAGCTGGCGATATTAAGATCTTTCTTGTTGCTTTTTTTAAAAACCCGTCAATAATAGATGATGGTAACAGTGCATTTAAAATCATTCACATCCTTGGAAAATACTAAATTTCAACTTTTGCAATTGTTAGCAAAAATTAGTGGCCGGTTGCTCATTTTTTCCTCCCGAATCTTAGAAATCTCATATGTGGAAATCATTTGTGTATCAAGTGGGCTTAAATGAACAAAACGAAAATAAGCCTATCTGCAAGTCTCAATTAAGCCCAAAGCCTCAACCATATATAAGTTTTCTTCTTCTTCATTGCGCATAATTGATGAGAGAGAGAGAGAGAGCGGAGAAAGAGAGAAGGGGGTTTGGTGCGTGCACACTCCGGAGACCTAGAGAGTTGAATTAACGCTGTTTTGTAGAGCCCGATAAGCATTCGTACTCTTTGTTCATTTTTTTTTTGGTCGAAATGCAGATTTCCATTCATTCATTAAACAACGGATTACAAGAGTGAAGATGACTAGCGTCAATACAAAATAAATCCCAAAGAGATTGGGGCGGTCTCGACATCCAGTTGGATGGAAGCATCCCTTTTCGATGATTTTTGGCGATCCAATCTGCTACTTGATTGGACTCGCGCGGACAGTGGACTAGAGAAACCCTCTTTAATTGGGAGAGTAACTTGTTACATTCCTCAAACAGACTCCTTAAAGCCCATGGGCTCAAAGCTGGGTCAAGGGTGTATTTTACTGCAGCTGCGTTGTCTGACTGTACGCAGAATTCCAGCACAGGATTGTTCTTCGTCGCTGCCTCTTCT